TTAAGGTTTCTCAAAAGGTGATTCTACAACTGTCCCATTATCTCTTGTTAGCTCTTCTACCTCTAACAATTTCATTAGTGTCCTTGCCACTCTTCTCCTAAGCTATTGTTGTCCCTCTAGTTACAAATTAAATAAATACAACCTGACTCTTCAGTATACTTGCCATAAATTCTACTGAAGACACACTTCCTCTTGAAATTATCTTCTTCTCCTTGGTATCTCTGACAATATCTTCTCTTGGATTCCCTCTAATAGTCCCAATTGTTCCTTTAGCAAGGATATTTTAGTGCTTTCTGTGTTAAGTGATGAAACACCTAAGGTTTCTTGTGCATTCATTTCTTTGCATTTTCTACATATTCATTGAGAGTGCCCATATTTGTTATTTACATATTCAAAATTTGATCTAAGGTTCAGGCCTTAATTTTCAACCACCCTCGAAGGATCTCCATGGGCACCAAGATAGCTCACAAGAACCACACACGTCTTTAATTATCTTCTCTTTGTCTCTGTCCCTATTTTTCCTTTCTTTCCCTCTTCCTATGTCTCTTTCTCTACCTTCTTCTTTTCTTGAACCTTTTGATATATCTGAAAAAGGCCTTTATTTTTATTTGAATTTTTTGTTTCATTTTTAAGATACTTTTCTTAGGCAAAGGATTCTAGATTGAGAGTTATTTTCTTTTCAAATTTACTTTCTAATTAACAAATAAAAAGTCATATGTAGTTGTGAAGTATGACATGTTTTGATTATATGCATATATTGTGGAACATGTTTTTTTCCTATTCTGTCTCTGTGACATTCCCATTCAGCCAACCGCTCACAACAGAGTCCCAAATCCCCTCTCTTCTTATCCTTCTCTCTTGCTCTAGTCCATGGATCTATTGATTTTATTCTGTTCTCTCTAATCTGTCCTATACTCTTTACCTCCATGAATGTTTCCTAGTTTGGTCCTATCATTTTGCAACTGGATGCCATCACTCTATCTTTCCATCTCTTTTCGAACCACTTAGATGATAGTGGATGCTCAGCAACTCTTTGTTGGTAGAAGAACTACGTTGTAAGGATTCCTCACCCCACCACTGCCACACAGTGACTTACCAAACTTGTTGCAGGTATCTAAAAAACACAAACTGTTCATGCCACAACTCCCTCCACTTCAAATCCTTCCACTGCCTCTTAGGGCAATTTTAAGTACTAAAATTTAAGCCCTTATAGTGAAAGGGAATTCTTTGTAGAGAATTTTACTCCTGAGGATTAAACTGGACTTACTATGGGAAACCCCCTACTTGAGATTTTCTTTGTTTAAGATGCCTGGGCCTGCCAACATGCCCAGACAAGTCTGAGCCAATTTCCACTCCTCAGGAATGTCTTTGTCTCCAGGAGAATTTTGTTGTTTTACCAGAATGTAAATGAGGTAGACCCGGTAGTTTAAATCACCCAATAAACATATTGCCAGTATTATGTACAAACCAATAATGTAATTGAGCCTGCTTCCTAATGCATATTCAATTTCTATAACCAATGAATATGTACCAAAGATGCCTCACTTGGAGCACCCCCTTTAGAATGCACATTTTCTTCATGTGTTGGAAAGGGGCCACTCTCTCGTATGTGAAAGCAGACTGGTTAGCTGATATTAAATAAACTTTTGCTTTGTCTCCATGGCTTCTGGTGTGCTTTTATCCTCCTGAACTAACAAATACGAGCCATATAAATCAAATGGAAGTTTGCCATTTCATTAGCATGGCGCACAAAACATTTCCATGTCCTTCTCCAGGCTCATCCCCACCCACCATGCTCCCAATGTCCTCATTGCCACCGTGGGAGATGATTCCATTCATTAGCCTCTCAGGCTCTTCCCCCAATCTGATTTTTCAGAAGGGCACAATTAACATACAATAAGGTACAGAATCTATGAAATTTGGCAGGTGCATGCTGTGTGGTCATCGCCCCCAAACAATCTGCAGAACATTTCAGCTGTCCCAGGAAACTCCCTGTGCCCTTTATCAATCAATCCATCACCCTGCTAAGAGAATAACCACTGCTATACTTTCTGACACCATACGTTAATTTTTCCCATGATCTGGCTTCTTTCACCCAATATAATGTCTGTGAGATTAACCCATGTTTTTGTGTGCAGAAGTTCATTCATCCTTATTGCTAAGTAGTTTCCACTATTACAATGTAAAAACTTGAAATGGACATTTTGTAGTCATTTTTTAATAGATGCCTAAGATGGGAAATTGCCTATTATTCTATCCAGCATCCCCTTAATGGGCAACATTTCATTTTGACATTTTCACTTTTTACTCATCTAGTGCGTATGAAATGGCATTTCATTGTGGTTCTCTGGGTTGGCTTTTTTTCTTAACCAATCATGTTGAATAGCTTCTCAATGTGTTTTAGACAAAATCATCCTTGGGATATAACCATACAAATTGTTACCCCTGTTTAAAAATATTAGTTGTCTTTACTATTTATTTGCTGTAGTTCCTTATGTATTCTGAATATAAGTTCTTTGCAATACATGTAACTTTTTCTAATCTTTGGCTTCCTTTTTTCTTAATGTTGGTTTTTGAAGAACAGAAGATTGTATTTTGTCAACTTTCTTTACATCCTTTTAGTTTGTTCTGGCAGATTCTTTACTAGGAAGAATATCCTCCCTGTCTTTGAGAGCCAATTTACTTCACAGGCTATGGTAATCACAGGATGATGCTCTGTTACTTTTTTATGCTTATTATCCAGCACTTATACTCAAGTACATAAATGAATTTCAGAACACTGGAAGAGTTAACTAAATGTCATCAATTAACTTGAGTGTCATTTCTCTTCCTAAAAGCAAAGTCAACTTCCCACACACCTTCCTGGCATCTACAAGCCATGAAAACCTTTTGAAATTCTCAGCATGGAGCTTTCTCTCCCCTCTTTAATATATATAAACAAGAATCTAATGATCATCTCAAATTTATGAGTTTGATCTATGAATTTTCAGCTTTATACTGAAGTAAAACCAATATGTGGTCAGTCAGTGGAAACAACTTTGAATTTTGAGCCCCCTCACCAAGCGAGGGATATGTTCGGGATATGTTATGGTGGTCTCTTAGGAGGCTAGTCAGAGGTGGCAAGCTCTAGCTTCCAGTCAGCCATGAAATTACTGTGGTAAACAACAGATGCTCTGCAATATACTGTGTGGTTAAATTATAATGTTTGGTAGATTTGATGAGTTAATACATTTTTGACTCATGATATTTTTAATTTATCAATGATTTATTAAATGTAACCCTGTAAGTTGAAGATCATCTGTATATACTTTTCAGGTTGTTGTTGCTATTGCTCTATAAACCCTAATTTTCAAAATGAGAACCAAGACCTGTCATGTAAGGGTACAAGATCCCAGTAATGAATGTAATTGTACTATATACCTAAAATGTACCAATAAACTCAATGAGAAAAAATAAATAAACCCTAATTTTCATCTGAAAAGCAGATGTAATTCTCAAATAGATACTCCTCATGAAATGCTGGGATATGTTAAAAAACAAAACAAAACAACAAAAAACAGTTGAAAGCCAGGGATTTAGCTCAGTGGTGCTGTGCCTGCCTCACAAGCACAAGGTCCTGAGTTGGATTCCTGGTACTGGAGGAAAAAACAACAGTTGAAAACATGACTAGCCAAGACTTGAAATGAAAGGGTTTGTCATTTGCTTTACCATGTAATAGTGATCAACTTTTTATTCTACGCAGTCTCACTGATGTCCAATCTCCGGTACATAAAAATGATAATACTACCATTGCATCTGTCCGAAGAATTAAACCTTAATTAATGGAGTCCATAGAGATGTCTAACTTGATAATGGGGGCTAATAAGAAATCGTACTACTATTCTGACAGGAAGGTGAAGTTAAAAAGATCTGAAGAGCACCAGCAATTCATGAAAATGATAGGCTAATTGAGGAAGCAAAGTGCAATCTTCTCTTCTCTGCAGGAAACCACAGTTTAGAGGCCCTTGCTCAGCAGACAATGAGACACAATCAAATGACATTCATCACACTATGAATTAAGCATTTGAGAGCACAATGACTTTCACCATTACAACAAAGCCTCAGAAAATCCAGAATTTTATTAACCACATTTTTGTATTGTTCTTCTTAAAGCAGCATGGATTTCACTCCAGGAAGATTAAAAGACTGGAAACAAGTGTGACATTCAGATTTTTAAATTAAATCGATATATATGTATAAACTGTGTAGAAAATAGTTTCATGTATAATTAAAATGTTCAATTTCTAGATATGAAAAGCATATAATTCACAAATTCAAACTGAATTATTAAAGATTTGCTATAACTCAGGCTTTGCTATAATAAAGAATATACTCATCTGGTACAAAATTTTTGCTCCTGAAAGAACTGATTGCTTCTGGGCAGGGGAGAGAGGAAGTGCTGCGAAAAGTCCATGCTTTTCTTCTGAGAGTAGGAATGTGAGATAACCTTCCCTAAATAATAGTAGCATAAAATGGCCCCAGCATCCTGGAGAACACAGAGGGGCAGCAAGTCAGTGGCAGCTTGGTAAAACCCTGCAACCGTCCTGGAGATTTTCAGCTCAGACGTCTGCTGAACTGTGATCTGGTTCTGGCTGCCCTAAATCATGAATGAATACTGTCCATATACTCAAACTTAATACAGAACAGTCCTAAAATTCTCTTATAAGAATTTGGTCATGATCAAAATGCTATAAAAAGAAGTTAGAATTCTAACTGCAAAGAATTTAAGCTGAAAGAAAAAAAACTATGTCTTACCTTTAATGCACTGTACGCTTAGAACAATACCTGGTTGGATAATTACTAAGTGAATTAATGAGAGGCCTTTAAAGAGAAAAGGAAGATTATCAGGACTGTCATAGTTGAAAGGCTATATTTAAGAAATTAAAGGGAAAAAACCCCAATAACTGAATTAACACTCTATGACTCATTGAGCTATTGATCAAAGAGAGAATTTATTCACAGAGCTTTTCAAATACAAACAAAATAGCACTTCATAACTTTTACAAAGTGAATATTGAAATAAATGTGGTACAGCACATTACAATAATGGACAAAAGAAACCGAGATCTAATGACTGGAAAATGACTCTCATTTTTCTCATATCTTCAGCTGAATTCTCTCTTCCAGTGGACAGAAAGTTGTCCCTTTCTTTCATAATAATATAGCAGAAGCTACTCAGAGAAATATTGCATATTTTTGAATACTGAAGTATGAAGGCTTAACTTTAAGTGCCTATGCAAACACTGAAAATATGACCAGGATATGAAGTTTATGCAGGATACACAAAATACTGATAGAGTGGCTTATTGGTCCATTTATTAGGTTTAATGGATGCTTTATAAAGTGATAATACTGTATTTTCAATGCATATTAAAAATACTGAGGAGTAATACACTGCTAACCCTCCACTGCAGTCTGTGTGACAGTCAAGGCGTGTGGGAAGGGGGTGTGTGTACAGATGTGTGTGTGCTCATGTGCTTTCTCTAGTGTCATCACCCACAGGGAACATCTGTGAGGTGCCCTGCTTCCCTCTTGACATTGCTTCTACTAGCCCTTTTGAGTCTCCCTAGTGTTCCCCTTCAAAAAACAAAAGAAAAATCCTTGCTTGCATATATAGATTTGTTTTGTGTATGCGTGTGTGTGATATACATTAACAATAATCTGTGGAATAGGATTACCCAACACCGCAATATTTTTAACCTTTGGTCCATTTTTCTCCATTATCTCATTCTCTCCATGTTTCCCACAAATCTTCTACCATCTTTCCTTCCTATATATTGTTCCTGATTGGGTTTCATTTCCTTTGCATTGTATTGGATTAGAACCACTATTCCACCTTTTGAAGTAGCGGGATGCTTTGGCCCCTTCAAGCTTCAGTGGCCTGACTTCTCCTCTGTTTGTTGCTCGTGGCTCCATCTCAGTATGGGTAGTGCTTCTGTTTCTTGCCTGAGAAGCAAGCCAGCCACGTGCACAGCAGCATGGCGGCAGCAGCACCTGCTCCTGTGCAGTAGTAGGCCCAGCCGATTTCACACTTACCTAGGGACAAAGGAAGGAGAAAGAAAGCAGGCACTGATAAACATGAATTGAAGGACACTGCTATTTTTTTTTCAGGGTATGTGCTCTAAAATACCCACTGAGAGCATGGTGTCCTCATTCAAATGGAATGATAACATGCTGACAGTTTTCTGCAGGGTAAAGAAAGCAAGAAAGTTTGTGTGCATTTCAGAAAGACGTCAAAATTCTATGATGCATGCCAACCAAGAACATGAAAGCCTATTCTTTTCCATTAATGTCCACAAGGGTAAAGGAAAATAGGAATAGCCACAACTGGGAGAGATGATGATGCTAACTTTAATTTAACACCTCTAACTCAAACTCATATGCATAACAAGGTATTTTAGGGAAAAAAATTAAAAATATATGTATAACTCTTCTGTAAAAGGGAGGCTTGAAGGAAGACATCTATTTGAAGAAACATGAGGAGATCCTTTTGAAGGATATTAGAGTGAATACTGTGATTTACATGAATTTTTCAAATGACTCATACTCTGGTGGCACACCCCTGTAATCCTAGCACTCTGGAGGCTGAGGCAGGAGGATCACTGTGAGTTCGAGACCAGCCTGGGCTACACAGTGAGTTCCAGGTCAGTCTCAACTACATAGTGAGACTCTGCCTCAAATGACTCATACTCTGGTGGCACACCCCTGTAATCCTAGCACTCTGGAGGCTGAGGCAGGAGGATCACTGTGAGTTCGAGACCAGCCTGGGCTACACAGTGAGTTCCAGGTCAGTCTCAACTACATAGTGAGACTCTGCCTCAAATGACTCATACTCTTACCGTCTGAACTGAAGAACAAGAACTCCAAGATTTTCCTGGGATTGACATCCACCTTTAAAGTAAAGAACATGATGACTAGGCTCCAAATAAGTCCTGACTTCTCAGAGTGGGGTGATTAATAACAGTTATAGCCACAATACAAGAGAATGGGTATCTTTTCCTACGTTGCCTTGGTTGATTCTGCAAACAACATTGTAAGGTGGAATTCTGCTGACAAAGATGCTCCAATTTATAGAAGTTGGTGGTTTATCCAAAGTCATATGCTTACAATTATTAATCAACTAAGGCAGAATTCAAACCTGGGTTCCAGATTCTAAGTAGCAGAAGTCATGGAGCCCAAATATCCCATCAAATATCTGATCTGAATTGATGGAATGGGTTTCTACATTCATATCTTTCATGGGAGCTTGTCCCTTCTGTTCCCTCCTTGAGACAATTAGCATTGTCAACTCTAAGCCCTCTTTTCCTCTTCCTTGTCTTTTTTTCCTCTTTCTTCTTCTTTCTTTCTTGAATGCTGAAAATCAAATCCAGAGCCTCATGCATGATAGGCAAGTACTCTAACACTGAGCTGCATTCCCCCTAATACCACTTTTCACCACTGATGCCATCTTATTAGACAATGTTTCACAGCTACCATTTTCCTTCCCTTCTTCCTGGTTCTATGTTACAATTAACACAGACAATAAAACACATGGAGTTCATAGTCACTGAACACAGAACTATAAATTGAAATCCAAGCCCTCTTTTCAAAAGTCAGTCATTTTTACCTTGTTCATTTGTAGAAAAAAATAACTTTGTTACATAAAAATACCAAAAAATTATTTGGTCTGCCATACAACTCTACTCCATATCTTCACGGGAAGTTGGCCTGAGAGGTAGTAAGTACTTGCTCCATGTATGGGTACACAGGCAAAGTTAAGACACACAGACATAGTTAAGAGACTTACTGGCTTGTGCTCACTGTATGTCAATAGCAGCAAAGTTAGATCATATCAAAGTTTTACATATTGAAAGTGCTCTAAAACATTATTGCCAGATAACAAGCTATATCGCTCAGTCTTCAACCTAGGTGTCATCCTTGATTTCTCCCTTCTACATCCAATAGTAACAACAGAAAATAGTAAACATACAGTTATTATTAGTTGTACAAAATTATCCTGAGTTTTCCATAGAGTTAATGCTGATGCATCAAATCCTCATAAGAACATGATGTGTTATGTATATGAATATCATCACCATCTTCTAGACCATAAAACTGAGGCTAAGAAAAACTCAATAATCTGCCCAAGGACTTATCTTGAGGTGGAAAGAATTTTGCCACTCTCCCTTCCCAGGTCAGTCCTGTTACCTTACCTTCTCCAATGCCTGAAGCAGCCCTAGGCAGTCTCCTACTGCCTTTGCTTTCTTGTCTTCCCAACCTCTCCTTGTACTACCTTCAAGAGCAAAGCAGGAAGCTATCTTTCTGAAAGTAAACCAGATCAATTCATCCTTTTACTTAATACTCTTTACTGAATCTTCTAAGATCTGTCTCCTTCCTGTGGCTTCTGAAGCCTTCTGGGGCCAGCTGGTATCTGCCACCCTCTCAGTCCTTATGATCACCTTACCCTTCGTTTTCTCTCTGGCAACACTGGCCAGCTTTCTGTAGCACATTGGCCTTGTTGCTGGACCAAGAGCTCCACATTCATTATACTCTCTATCCATCCATTTCTACTTCCAGATCTCTAGACAATTTGCTGTTTCTCAAATGACACCTCTATAAAAATAACATCCATGTCCACCTGCTTTATCAGAGTCCCTCCTCTCACTTAATAGTTTTCATCTCTCACTTAATAGCCTTCATAGTACTTTCCTTTCATGGTCTGGAAATATTGTGTGTGTGTGTGTGTGTGTGTGTGTGTGTGTGTGTGTTTAATTTTATTCTTCAAGTCCAGAATGAATGCTCCTGAAAAGAGACTTTTGAACACTTTGTTCCCTACTATACTCTGATCATAGCACTTATCTACAGTAGGTGTTCAGTTAATAATTACTGAATAAAAGGTAAAGTTTAACAAAATAAAACAGAAAGAAAGAGACAAAGCAGACAGACAGCTAGTCCCTGAAAAACAAAGTAAATCTTGGATTTTATTTTAAGAGTAACTCCAGTCTCTTTTTGGCACTGGGCTTTTTTAGAGAAGTTCCCAAACCAATTATATATTTCCAACCTCCTATAGTGCATTACATTTAACAGGATAATAGATTCGGAAGGGTCATATCTCCACCTTGGAACAGGTCTCATGGGCACAATGACCTCCATTAATACTAATAGACAGGATAAGCATTTTTCAAGGGTAAAAGAGTCCCCCTTCATAGACCACATTTGCTGACAACCATAGGCTAATGTGGCTCTGAGTCTAGGGAACCATCTCCATTTTGAATTATACTTTGACTAGATTAAATAAATCTAGAAGGGAGAATTAATTTAAGACAGCTAAGAGATGGTCAGTGGTTTAGAACCTTTCAAAGAGTCAGCAAAATATGTGGTCTATCTGTTCCACACAGGGCTCACAGCACAAAATGCAATCCATTGCTCATTATTAACAAGGTATGACCTATGTGCAGTTTCACAATGTAACAGGAAAAGCAAAGTATATAATTCTTTATTAATTATTGGGCACTTTCTCAAGAAAAAGTAGTTATCAGAGAATAGTAAAGGTGACAATAGCTACATATAATAAAGATGAAAAAGGGAGCTGCTACAGAGTTGACTATCAGAGGACCAAAGAGAGAGAGGATGTTTTTCTCACAGAAGTTAAAACAGAACTCTAAACTTCAGGAAGTACTAAGTAGGAGAGGAACTGTCACCAATGTTGAGTGTGCTCCGCCCAATTCTGAGTCCCTTTGCCAGTTCTGGGTTCTTATTCCTCAGCTTCTGTTCATACTTTACTCCTAATAGCTGTTTCTCACCAGCTCCTCAGAGGACCCCTGAGCAAATGGAAACAATTTGCCCCCCATCCTGACATCTGAAGTTATGACCTGTAGCCAGGATGGACTCAGGATTCTGTCAGGAGTGTGGATGCCCAGTGGCTTCCTGTCTTCAGGAGGGACAGACCCTGCCATGTGAGGAATGTTCCAGGCACCCACACGTTCAGCCTGGGACCTCATCTCAAAGTGCACCCTCGCTCAGTTTTAGCCCACTCTGCTTTCCTGCTTCCTTTTCTTGTTTCTCCTTGGCACATTCCCTTGACGGCCTGAACACAAATCTTCATTGCAGAGGATGAAGTTCTGGGGAACCAGATCTGAGACAATGAATAAACCAACCCATAACTGCTTTTATCAAATGGTTTTTCAAGTTTCTTTCATTGTCAAAGAAACACTGCTTAAACTCACTCTCCCACAGCCCACCCAAGCCCTGGCAGCTCCAGTGACCCAGAGTCGGGGCAGAACCTTCAGCCACAGCAGCCTCACACACTCCCAGTGCTACCATCTTCCTGGGGCAAACCTAACTCTTTGTCTTGCTTGCTAGGTAACTGTAGTTTCTAATCATTATTATGTTTCCGGATCCATGTATTTTTCACTTTTGATTCTGGGGATTGTACCCAGGGAGCACTGAGCTACACCTTCAACCCTTCACTCTTAGGTGGGGTCTTGTGAAGCTGGCCAGGCTGGCCTGGAATTTGCGATACTTCTGACTTTGCCTCCCAAAGAACAGTTGAGATGATAGGTATATACCACCGCGCCCAGCCGGGATTCCTCCTTGTGTATATCGTTAAAAACACACAGTCAACTCAATCAGACCAACTGTCCATCAGAGGAAAGTTGGACAAAAATTAAATAAATATTATTAGAACGTTTGAGGAGATAAGAAAATATGTGCCCTGATACACATATACTCAAGTTTACATGTAGGGATTTACACATTTTATGGTTAAAATTCATTAACCAATTTAGGGCCAAAGTAAGTGATTAATGTTCAATGTGATTTAAAAGAAAAATATTCCTGTATTGTAGACATGAAAACTTTTTCTTAGGAATTCATGGCACAAATAATGATTAAATCACAAGTGTTTTCATATGGATTTGTTCTAGTTTTTTTATTAAGAAGAAATATAGCCATACTATCAAAGTAACAAAAATATACAAAACTATACACATACACACACAAATACACACTTTGAGATGGAAGAAATTGTCAAAATTAGTCTATTAAGAGCAAGACAT